GCCCCCCCCCCCCCCCCCCCCCGGCAAAACCTGAACTGCTGAGGCCCTAGAAAGATGCGCTCCCTTCCCCCGCTTGGGGCCTCCTCGGTCCGGGGCTGGGGCTCGCCTTCTGCCGCCTCTGAGCCCGAGGCCGCCCCTGTGCTCCGCTTAGCCTGCCAGTGAACCAGCCCCCCCCCCCCCCCCCCCATCGGCTGCGGCTGCTGGAGCTCCTCCGGGGCCTCCGCCTTGTCTGGACCGCCGAGCAACCTTGCCCCGCAGGCGGCTTCTTCCTGCCCTGCGAGCCGCCCCCCCGCACAGCGGCTCCTCCGTCGGCAACTTTGCCCAGCAGGTACGGCAGCCCCGCATTCTGGGCCGCCTCCCGCGCTGAGAGCGGCCACTGCGGAGCCCTGCAGAGACGCTGCCTCGGGCTGCCTAACCACCGGGGCTCCGGATACAGGCCGAGACCCGGCCTCCAGCCAGCGTCGCAGCCCCGCCCCTCGCGCCCGGAGGGGCGGCTCACGGGAGGGCCCCGCCTGGGTCCTCCTGGCCTCGGCAACAGCAGCTCGATTGGCCGCCGCCGCCGCCTGACGCCAGGGGGAGCGTCCCAAGGCGGGCGCGCTGGTCTCCTCCCGCAGGGCGCCTGCGCGGCGGGAGGCTCTCGGGGCGTGGCCAGCGTTTCCGGACTGTGGCTCAAAGGAGGCGCCTCGAATCCGCCACGTGGTTTGGCCTCCAGGGGGCGCTCTTTCCCCCCCCCCCCCGTTGCCCCGAGTGGCCAAAGGGAGCGTAGCGGGTCCCCTGGCTGCCCCTTCCCCCCGGAGCGCAGTGCTGGAGAAGGGCGGCGGGGGGGCGGGGGCGGCGCACCGAGTCCGGCCTTTCTGGCGGGGAGCTGGTTTCACTCGAGCCGCGCAGCCTCCACGCTGTTCCCGCAGCCCGCCGCGCCCTGGAAAGGCCCCCGTCCCTCCTCTCCCTGCCCTCTGAGCCTCTTGCCCCCCGCCCCCTTTCAGCCCAGGGGCTCCTCTCCGCCTGACCCCCCACCCAAAGCAGCGCCGGGTAACCAGCCGAGAAGCCCCCCTCCCCCCCTTCGCACGCGCCCCTCTGCCTCCCGGGGGAGCCTGACTTGGAGAGCTCGGGGGGGACGGACGCTCACAGAGGCGCCCCGGCCTCCCTGGGGCCGCGGGAGGGGCTGGCAGATCTCCGGGGGGGGCGCGCGGTGCGCGGGGCCGCCGTCTTGCACGGCCCTTTCCCACTAACCCAGCTGGCGCGGGCGGGCTGCGCGAGCTGCGGTCTCAAATGGGTTGGTCAGAAGTCGAGGCTGCCTGCGGGGGTTTCCCTCTGGGGAGCTGGCGCCTCGTTCCCTGGGGAGCGGGGAGGGCTTGACCATTGACCGTTATTGACCGGCCGGCCAGAGGAAAGCAAACATTGTCCCCAATAGCGGGGGAGGGGGGCATCTGGGGCAGCTTCAGCCCGGCTCTGGGACTGGCAGGGCTCCTGAGGGTGCCGCGGGGCGGGTGGAGCGGCAGCCTTTCCTTAAACGCTGGAGGAGTCTCTAAAAGGGCCTGAGAAACGGGGCGTTGGCCCTGCTGAGCCCCTGCGGGACCCTGCCTTGAATTGTCACCCGAAATGGCACAGGGTAGCAAAGGGGCTTTGGAGTTCTTTGGCACTTCCAGCAGACGTGGGGATGCGTTTGTGGGGGTGGGGGTGAGAGAGCAGGGAGACCCTTCAGCCCCCCTCCCCGCGGGAATGATCCCGAGTACCCCCCCCCCCAAATCAGCCTGGCACAGCTGGGGCTCCAGAGAAGGAAACACAAGCAGGCAGACTCCCCTTCCTTGGGAACCTTAAAGGGGCAGAGTGGGCAGTGGTGGGAAGGGGGGATCCTCTTTCCTTCCCTCCCTCCCTCTTTTCCCCCTGGGCCCCTCCTGACTGAGGACCAGGGAGGGGCACTGAGAGCCTTGCACAACCTGGGATAGTCCTGGATATTTATTTCCTCATAGGTGGAGGAGGCCTGACATCCCCCCCCCCCCAGCGGTGTCCTTCTTCTGCTTGGCAGCTTCCCTCTGCGGGGGTGGGGGTGGGGGTGGGGGCGTTGGAACACCATGTGCTGCTTCCTCGTGTCCCAGAGCTTCTGGGAACCAGAACGTATTTTGCCTTCCAGCGTTAGCCTGGTCTGTGGACGTTTGCAGAAACCGGATTAAGAAACCCACTGGACCTTCATTCCCTTCTACATCTGCCGCTTTGGGGGGGGCAGCGTCTCCAGCGTTTGGGGGGGGGCTCTTTGCCCTTTTTTCTAAACACACCGTGGGGGTGTGGGCCCGCGGGGGGGGGGGGGGGGGAATCCTAATTCACGCAGGGGAAGGAGGCCCCTGGATGTAGCCCCCATTCCCCTGCCCTGCCTTGGGAAAGTTGCTACAGAGACGTTATAAGCGCCCAAGAACATCACAGAGCAGCACACTCAAATTACAGGTAGTTCTCGACTGACAACGGTTCATTTAATGACCGGCCAAAATTAGAGTGGCATTGAAAAAAGCAACTGGTGGCATGTTTCACGTTTATGGCTGATGCAGCATCCCCCCCCCCCCACCTGGTCCGAATCTGAAGGCTTGGAAACTGACTCATCTTTATGACGGTCACAGTGTCATGTGATCCCCTTTTGCGACCTGACCAGAAAAGTCAATGGGAAAGCCGGATTTACTTAACAACTGCAGTGATTCACTTAACAACGGTGGCAGAATCCGGTTTAGTGGATGCCGCACCAAACTGCCTTCCATTATTATTGAGCCTGAGATGCCCCCCTGGAGCTCTGGCCTGGCCTTCCTTCTTCCGGCCGACGCCCCCCCCCCCCCTTCTCTGCCGGATTCCTGCACCTTCTTCCTTCTAATGAGGCTGGAAGCCCAGGACTGATCCTCGTGCGAGCTGCTCCGTGCCTGGATAGGCCAATAGAGTCAGCTAGCCTACTAAAGGCATCACCTCCAGGGGCTCGGGGGGCGGGGGTGTTTGTAATTTTGGAGGTCGTCGTCTTGCCTATAAGTAAGCCCCCCCCCTCCTTAAATCCGGTAAGCTTTCACCCAGCACTCCTTGTCTTGTTCTCCAAAGCACTTGAGGGTGGGACAAGGAGTAACAAGTGGAAGGTCCTTCAAGAGAGACCCAACCTAGCACAAAGGAGGAAAGAATTAACCAGTGGAACTGCCGGCCTCCTGATGGTGTGGCTGTTCCATCCCTGGAGGTTTTTAAGAAGAGACTGGAGAGCTCTTTGTCCAGAAGGGTGTAGGGGTTGGGCTAGAAGACCTCCGGGGGCCCTTCTAACTCTAATTCTTCTGTCCGTGAGGTTTGTGGGAAAACTTGCAAGGTTTTGGCCCTAGGGCTGTTTTGCAATCCCCCTCCAGGCAGGGTTTGCCACCCAGAGAGTCTGCGGGGGGGGGGGGGGGGGGGGTTTTCCGGGAAACCTTGGGGTTGTCAGTCAGGGGGAGAGGGGGGGGGGCGCAGGGGGGCATTCCTGAGCCTGGCCTCTTGTCAGCTGAGTACACAGAGCAGATACACAGAGCCTGTCCGTCCAGCTCTTGCCCGGGGCCAGCTGGGCCGCTTGTGGAAGGGAGCAGGCGGGATGTTCCCCCCCCCTTCAGACCTCCCACTCAATGGGCCTGTTGAGCCCAAGGAAGCCCCCCCACAGCTGCCCCCCCCCAAGGCCCCGCCCCCCCC